CCTGCTCTCTGCTTCTGTCTGCAGCAGCACACTGGCTTTCACTCTTTTCTCCTTTGCGTCTGCTTCATACACCCTCTGCTGCTTCTGCTGACCCTGGATTMATCTGGCATCTGTCAACTGCAACAGGATGAATGTCAGAATTGGCCTCATTTTCCCCCTTTGTCTGTTTTTTCTGTATCTTTGGTCAGGTAAGGTTGTTTACTTGTTGTTTATGGCTGTTGCCACCATGTGATGTTTGTTTTAGCTTACCTCTGAGAAATCACTTAATCATTCACTTTTAATCAAAGTAATCATAGCTTTTGTTTGTTTGTCACTATTCATTAGAAATGGTGCTAAACATTAGTATTTTCACTAAGCTGCAAAAACTTGGGATGCAATCAAACTAAATGTCAAACAAAATTAAAAAAAAGAAAGGAAATATAAAATGTGGTTATAAAAACCTCCAGCAGAGAGTGATTTATGTCTGATCTTCTGCTCTGGTGCAGGAGGAACATGTTCCGAAGCAGAACACAGGCTCTTCTCTGTGATTTTCTCCAACTACAATCAGTACATTCGACCCGTGGAAAACGTGTCCGACCCGGTCATCGTACAGTTTGAGGTGTCCATGTCCCAGCTGGTCAAAGTGGTAAGGCACAAGCGTTTATTTTATTTTTCTTCTTCGTTTTCTGCACTAATGTTTGCTGTGACAGTTATTTATGGGGCATCACATGGATCACTCTGCTCAACAGGCGTGATCAGGAGAAAAGAAATCAAGTCAAAAATTAAGACTCTTTTTTTTTTAATGCCTCCAAAACAGTAAAAGTACAACTACAATTTTTGTTTTAAATAAAATATCAGCAGATAAAGTAGCATTTAATGTGATGGAGATCATCTGATTTCTTTCGTCTTTGCGGTGTCAGTGTACTGTTTTCACAAAGAACCTAAATAAGAATGAATAAACCTTCTGGTTCAGGAGAGAAAACACAGGAAAATTAGTTTTCTTACATTAGTCCTAACTTCAGCAAAGATCACTGATGATGTGTCTGTCTGGGTGAATCAAGTTTTGTTTATTGTAGCAGACCACTGAGCTGCAGCTGCTGCTGATGGATGATGACTGACTTTCTATAACACCTGGTGCTCCTGTGTTTAGTTTGCCTGCATTGTTACAACTTACACGTTCATTTAAAGCATCGACAGCTSATCAGCTGAGCTGCTGGACTCATGGACCCACCACCAGGCTCACAGAATATGCTCTGCTCAAAACAGACACTTTTCTACAAGGGAAAAGACATATCACTAGGATGGATTTCGTTCCTTGAAGATGTAAGTTAGGTAGGATTTTTTAAATTTATATATAGAGTTGGCCCATTATCTATTTATATAATACCAATTTAACACATCATTAGATTGTTTGTTTAGTTTGACAAAACCAGAAACCTAATCCAGTGAAGCATGATTTTTTTAATCATTAATACATAGTCTTTAGGCTAATCTCATTGAGATCACAGATCTGTTTTACAAGAGGTCTGGGCAGGAAAGCAATAATGTGCATGTTGTTGAGGTGGAAACCAGAATACCCAGACAATCCATGGTCATAGTAGAACAGTTTGAYGTGTTCATGACCCCTGCTCTGAACTTAGGGATTGTACTCAGGACCATCCTGCAGTGAGGCAACAGTGCTAACCACTGAGCTGCCGTGCTGCCTTTTACCAAAGGCTGAAGAGCCTGAATGTCCATGTGAAAAAAAAAGGTCAGGTACAGCAGGTAAAATAAGTATTGAAGACGTCAACATTTTTCTCAGTAAATATATTAACAGAGGTGCTAATG